GGCAGACGGGGTCTCTCTCTTAGGAACTCACACACTAATTGTGAGAAGTTGGCAATTCAGTCGTTTCCATGCAGTGTGGTGGTTGGCGATGAGGAAGGGCTATGGAAACACAGAAGAAGGGCACCTTGTGCAGTTCAGGAGGTTCGGGAGAGCTGCTCGGAAGAAGTGGGGTCTAATGTGAGATCTAGAGGTAGGCAGGAATTCGCTAAGTGGAGGGAATTGGGTAGCAGAGGAATGTATCAAGAACAGAGATGAGTGGGGAATTTCACTTTGGCTGGAAAGTGGGGGTGGGAGGGAAGAGGCTCCAGTAGCAAAGGATGGGGGCGGGGGGAGACAGGCAGGCGCCAGGAGACAGGGGTCCTAAAGACAGGGCTTCCCAAACCGGAGTGTGCAAATCACCAGGGAGACTGGTTAAATGCAGATTCTAACTCGGCAAGTCCGGGGTGGGACCTGAGACTTGCTTTCCCAACAAGCTCCCACATGATGGTGATGCCCCTGGCCCAGGGGCCACACTTTGATCACAAGGTCATACATACCGCGATAAAGGTTTGGACTGATCCTGGAGATATTGGTGAAACACTTCAGGTAAGGAATGACAGGGTCACATTTGAGTCTGGCCCACTCTGGCTGCAAGGTGGAGAATGGATTAAGCAGGGGGTGGCCATTTAATTTATTTTTGCCAATGAAGTTTTATAGACGGTGTATATACTGTCTATACTGGTAGAACAGAATACTTGCAACACAACCCTGAAAATACTTACTCAGTGGACCTTTACAGAAAAAAATCAGTTGGAAGTAATCAGGCTGGAAGTCTTCAGATCCTGCAACAGTCCAGGCCTGGGCAGGGGGCCTGAGGTGGGGATAGAGAAACAAGTTGGCCTAAAGGTAGAACAATGTCCTGATTAGGGCCAGTGCTTTGACACCAAGAGATCTGTCTTCAAGTCTTGTGTCCTGCATTACTCATCCTGTGTGTCTTTCTGCAAATTACCTAATCCTCTCTGAACCTTGATTCCCTCATCTGTAAAATGGGATTAATAATGGAACCTCCCTCACAGGAGTGATTGAGGATTCAGTGAGATGGTGTTTAACATAATAAGCACCTGGGAAGGGGCAGTGAGCGTAGAAGTAATTATTGGAATGGAATTTTGATTTAATCTGTGTCTCCATCCTCTTCCTCTGTTTCCTTTGCTGCTCATTCTTTCTCCACTACAGGGCATGTTTCCCTTTTGTCGATGCAACCATCTCTCTACTCCGATTTGGTTTATCTCTTTCCTTGACGTCCATGGCCATCCACTCTATGGAAAGCCCTCACTCTGGGTACGACAGTGGACTGATGACAAAAATGGCCCCTGTCCTCTTTCTCTTCCTGTGCCAATGCCTCCACAGCCTGTCTCATCAAGAAGGCGAGCCTTTTTACCTACCCCTGAAACTGGAAGGACTTTGGGACTGTCTTTAGTCAATAGCATGTGGCAGAAGGGATGCTGTGCTAGTTCCTGGCCTGAGACTCAAGAGGCCTCGTCTGCCTCTGATTGTTCTCTTGGAAACCTGCAGCCACTGTGTGAATAGCCTGCTGGAGGATGAGGGACTCTGTGGCCCAATCAACCCTGTCCCCGAAGCTGACAGCGAGCTTCCTGTGAGACTCGTGAATGAGGCCGTCCCAGACTGATGTGACCACGAACTGACCCAAGCACTTGAGCGAGCCTAGCCAAGACCAGTCACAGATTGGCCCAGATCAGCAGAAGCATTCAGCCGGCTCATAGCCTCTCAGAAATAATAGGTATTGTTTTAAGCCACTGAGTTAGTGGTCATTTGTAGCTCAGCAATAGAGAATTGATTTGGAATCTTAAAAAAACAATCTGGCAGGGATGCCTGGATGGCTCAGTTGGTTGAGCATCTGAGTCTTGGCTCCCGCTCAGGTCATGATCTCATGGTTTCATGGGTTCGAGTCCTGCGACAGGCTCCGTGCTGACGATGTGGAGCCTGTTTGGGATTCTCTGTCTCTCCTCTCTTTGCCCCTCCCCCACTTGCACTGTCTCTGCCCCTGTCAAAATAAATAAAGTTAAAAAATTAAAAAAACAACAACCCACAATCTGGCATACTGGGCTGCCACTGGAGTGTGTACAGGCAGTCCTTAACTTTTGTATGTTTGACTTTCAAACAGCCTGACTTTGATACACGTGCTTGACTGACGCCCCAAAGCACCTTGCCCACAGTGATCCTGGTTTGCCTCATCAGCTGTGGCAGGAGGGTGTTGGCCCCCCCTTCAGTGGATGAGTTGGGCCAGTGTCGCCATCTTTGTGCAGATTGTTTACACAGTTGTTTGACTGTGTTCCTACATTTGCCCTTATCTTGTAAAAACAAATGGAATCTGGGAAAACGAAAGTGCTGATTCGGGTGACAAAAATGCCACAGGTCCCAAAGGTAATACAATTAGGACACTGATTCAATGTGCCCCAAGTGGCTAAGCTTCAGCTGCAAGTCAGATGCTGCCTGCTGTTGAGCTGGTGGGTGGGGTGCTCAACTGTAAAGGAAAAGACCCACCATAGTGATGAAGGGCATGCAGGAGACTGTGTCACTTAGACATACATTAGGTCACAACTTATAAAAACCTAACCCACGGTGACTTAAACAGAGGCTTGTTTTTCAACAGCCAGAGCCTGGAGGTGCACAGCCAGCAGTTCAGGGATGAATCAGGGACCCAGGCATCTTTCTGCTGTCATTCTGGGTATTTTCACTCCCCCCCCCCCGAACATTTTTTAAAATGTGTATTTATTTATTTAAAAATATTTTTTTTAATTCTTTAAATTTATTTTTGAGGCATAGAGACAGCGAGACAGAATCTGAAGCAGACTCCAGGCTCTGAGCTGTCCGCACAGAGCCCGTAGCAGGGACTGGAACTCACAAACCATGAGGTCATGACCTGAGCGAAGTCTGACGCTTGAACAACTGAGTCACCCAGGTGCCCCTGGGTCTTTTCATTTTTATCATCATACTTGTCATCTGCAGATCCCACAGTTGCTACTACAGTTCCAGGCATTGTTTAAGGCAAGGAGAAGAGGGAATGGATGAGGGAACGTAGTATACGTCATCTTACATCTCATTGGCCAGGATTAGGGAACGTAGTAGCCGTCTTCTTACATCTCATTGGTCAGGATGGTGTCACGTGACCACGCCTAGGCGTGAGGAAAGCTGGAGGAGAAAGCCTGCCGCATGGCATACAGCTGCCCAAGCCAAATACAATGCAAGAATGGATATTAGTGGGTAAATAAGATTCTGTCACAGAAATGCTAAGAACAAATAGCCGAAGGTGGTGTCAAAGATGTAATCAGGGAATATATAATTTCATAATTATATCATTTATACTTGTCTAAGTCCTTGCATATAGCAAATGCGCAGTAAATGTTAGAACTAAAGTCCCAGCTCCACCATTCAGTGGCTGTAATCTCTTGGGCAAGTCAGTTAACTTATCTGGACATTAATTTCCTCGTTTGCAAAATCGCCGGGAGGGCAGGGGGGGGGGGGGGGGGTGGGGCGATGAAGGAGGAGAATCCTGCCTTTTAGAAGGTTGGTTGGGAGCATCAAAGAGCGATGCATGAGAACTTGAGAAGTGCCCTCCAAGTGTTAGCTGCTGTCTCAGAAGTAGCGCCCCAGCATCTGTGGAACAGGAAGAAGGTAAATCCATTTCTTAGGGGATGGTCACCATCTGGCTCTCTGCCCGGCACCTTCCCCCACTGCCAACCTTTTTCTTCAGGCCTGTGAGTGAGCTGCAGCTGTGAGTACTTGTTATACGTGTTCCCAGGAGGGAGGACGCCCAGAGAGAGGATCCAGCACCCCCGTGTCTCTTTGTTCTGAACTATGGCATTTTCTTATAAGCTTTCTCTGTTTCATTTCTCAAACGAAATTTCATTTTCGTGGCTTGAGTCCGAGGCAGAAAGCTTAGTGAAAGCTCGTGGTTCTCAGTCCAGGCTCTCTAACAACCTATGAGGGGCTTTGTGAAATTATCCACGCTCGGGACTCCACCCTGGCCCGATGAGGTCAGAAGCGCGGGGAGTGCGGCCCAGGTGTGGGTACTTTTTGCCGCTCCCTTGATGATTCTAGAAGGCCGCCAGGGTGGTGAACCACTTCCTTTAGTGGGATGGCCCTTAGGTCCGAGAACCTGGAACCTCCAGCTGGTGTGTGTGAGGTTTGCTTTGCGGTAGAGACAGCGAAAAGAGATGGTTGGCCGTAGTGGTGGTGGCGGGACGGAAATAGAAGCCCAGGATGGAATTCTTCAGCTGGGAGATACGGGGCAAAATAATACCAAGCAGGCATAGGATTTAATTCCTCTGGCACTTCCCCTTTTCTCCAACCCCAGGGAGATAGAAACAGTTAAAAAAAAATTAATCTATAAAAGGCATCAGAGTCATCCTGAAACTTCTCAGCAGAAAAAA